CTAATAAACAGGCTGGGAAATGGAAAATCAATCATAGAAGCAGCCACAAATTTGAAGAAAACAAGAAGGAGTGGTTAGACGGACAACTTTTATTAGTTAATCCACTGGCTAATCGTGGAAGACCCGATAAGAAGTTTGACGAATATTCCAACAAAACGAAACTAAAATGTCATCCAAATGGAGTCCAATTTACGAATTATTCAGCTCAAGTGCCTTTACAAGATATGGTGGATAATATTGTTACGCGCCTCGCTGAAGGTCATTCTTCTATATCTGAATTTAATGTTGCTGAACGGAATGAGCAGAATCTCATTTCTTGCGGGCTCAAAATTGATATTGAATTTTTTTAGGCAATATGCTTTACAGACCGCAGAACTTTTTATCACACAGAATCCTTGGTTTTATATCCCTTGTTCCATACATAAAATCTTAATACATGGAGCCGATATAATTAAAGTAACACCACTTCCAATAGGAAAAATGTCGGAAGAAGCGTTAGAAGCCCGGAACAAAGATTACCAAAATTTCCGTGAGCACCATAAGCGAAAGACATCCCGATTAAATACAATGGAAGACTTAATGCATGCGCTTTTGTGTTCATCAGATCCCTTGATTTCAAATTTACGCAAACCACAAGGCAACAAAAAAAAAGAAAGATGTCGATAATTATATTTTACAACTTTTGTCAGAACATTGTGTACCTTGCACCTTAGATTCATCCAGTAAGTTCCGAATCGGAATATGAAACTATTATTACTATTGTAATCAGTATTTTTTTTTTGTTGCTTTATAATTAAATTTTTTTACGAAATGTATGAATGATTTTTTTGTTTATCTTTGTAGCTTAATCTATTTCCAACCAAAAAAAATATTACAAAAAAAAAACAAAATCCCTAAGCGCTATTAATTAAACGCCGCTATATAAGCCTTTTCGCCCACTGTGCGGTGGGGCCGAAAATATTTTCCTTACTGATTTTTGCATTAAACTTCCCCACCAGAATGTTAATGTCATTGCCAGGACAGCGGTCATGTGCTGTTTCTTGGCGCTCGTATAATACGTTTGTGGTCTGTTAATCTACGTCTTCCGTCGGAGCAATAATCCTGTAAAGCAATAATATCTGCTTGTACATCTTGAGTACAACCGCGCACATTTCAAGTACCGATACGGAGATCGTTGTCCTTTATACGTTTGTGGAGATCGTCAACATTAGAGAGGTTTGATTATATTTTTCTTTGATTTTACATAGTAGGGGGGGTTTTCCGAGTAGCCGAAGCCTCAACCCATACATACGAAAATTTCAATGTGAAATCGAAAAACGTACATTTTTGGGATAATGCCAACAATTTTTAGCGTATTCAAGAAGTAATTAAAAATTCAATAGAAGTGTTAGGTGCTCGATCGCTTTTTATACCCTCCACCATAGTATGGAGGGTATGTTAGTTTTGTTTTTCCGTTTGTAACGCATCGAAATAATCATTTCCGACCCTATAAAGTATATATATTCTTGATTTGATACGTTGGGTTCTTATTGGGTACTTAATGTATCCACAAAAATTATTAATATAGGTCCACTTTTTCTGTTAGTCCCCATATAACGGTACCTCCTAATTTTCAGTATTTTGGGGATTTTGATCGTAATTTTCCGCCGAATTAGCTGTAATTTAGTATTCTGAGTTCTTAATAAGCACCAAATTTCCCCACAAAAAATTATGAATACAGGTACATAGGTCCGGATAGCCGCCATATAAGGGTACCCCCAATTTTCGGTATTTTGGGGTTCTTGAACGCGTTTTTTAGCCGAATTTGCTGCAATTAGGTATTTTGTAGTCGTATATGGTAACAAATCTTCCTACCAAAAATTATTAATATTCGCCCCTTTTTGGGGTAGTCCCCATAGAACTTAACGCTTTTTCACTTGTTTTGTGCTAAAATAGTTTAAAATCTAAATCTAACAATAATAATTGTTTGTGAACTTTCTGCCAAACTTACTGTAATATGAGGTCTGATTAATCTATACTAATAAAAGAGTAAAGTGATTGACTGACTGACTGACTGATTGACTGACTGACTGATTTAACGATTCATCAACGCCCAGACGAAACGGCTGAAGCTAGAATCTTGAAATTTTGGGTAGGGTCACTCTTGGCCCAAATGTGACAGATAAGGCTGGGTTTTTGGAAATTCGTACTAGAAGGGTACGAAAAGTACTAAAAAGTACTAAATATGATATCATTTGTATTTGGCGAACCAGTACAGCTTGAACTCTGAAATTTGGATTGAGGGTCACTGATGGAGTGTAGGATAGATGTACCAAAGGGTTTTTGGAAATTCGAACTACAACTATCCGAAATGTACGAAAATATACTAAATTTGGTACAATTCTGTAGCATGAGAACGGATAGAGCTAAAAACTTGAAATTTGGAATGCGAATTAGGGTTGGGAAGTAGGGTCGATATAAGGAGATGGTTTTGAAACCGTGTACTCATGTGTACGAAAAGTACTATATGGTACTGTATTTGGTACAAATTTGATTTGGAGGTACAAATGGAGCTAGAATCCTGAACATTGATATTAACATTACCGTCGGAGTATAGGATTGGGGTATGTACGTAGTTTTGGAAATTTGTTACTTATGAGTACGAAAAGTACTAAATCGTACTATAATTGGTACAATTTGGATTTGGGTGAACCGATAGAGCGGGAACAATAAAATTTGGAGTCAGGATCACTGTAGGGATGTAGGATTAGGGTCAGGATTCAGTTTAAGAAAATAATACTTATGGGTACTAAATGGTACTAAATTTGGTACAATTTGAATTTTAGGTGAACCAATAGAGCTAGAATCATGAAATTTGGAGTCAGGATCACTGTTGAGGTGTAAGATTGAAATATGTAGGATGTTTTAGAAATTTGTACTAATGTGTACTAAATTTGGTACAATTTAAATTGTGGGTGAAGCGATAAAGTTTGAATCCTGAATTTTGATTCAGGATCACTGTGGAGGTGTAGGATTGGAGTATGTAGGTAGATTTGGAAATTGGTACTAATGTGTACTAAATTTGGTACAATTTGAATTGTGGGTGAACCGATAGAGTTGGAATCCTGAAATTTTGATTTAGGATCACATTGGAGGTGTAGAATGAGGGTATGTAGGAAGTTTTGGAAATTGGTATTACTATGTACAATTTGAATTGTGGGTGAATCGATAGAGGTGGAATCCTGAAACTTGGTTTCAGGATCAGTGTGGGGGTATGATTGGGGTGTGTAGAATGTTTTAGAAATTCGTACTACTGTGTACTAAATTTTGTACAATTTAAATTGTGGGTGAACAGATAGAGTTGGAATCCTGAAACATGGATTTAGTATCACTCTGGGGGTGAAGGTTTGGGTTAAGTAGGAAGTTTTGGAAATTCGTACTACTGTGTACTAAATTTGGTACAATTTTAATTGTGGGTCAACCGATAAAGTTGGAATCCTGAAACTTGGATTTAGGAACACTGTGGGGGTGTTGGTTTGGGCTAAGAAGGAGGTTTTGGAAAATCGTACTACTGTGTACTAAATTTGGTACAATTTAAACTATGGGTGAAGCGTTAGAGTTGAAATCATGAATCTTGGATTTAGTATCACTGTAGGGGTGTAGGTTTGGGGTAAGAAGAAGGTTTTGGAAATTCGACCTATTGTGTACTAAATTTGGTACAATTTGAATTGTGGGTGAACCTATAGAGTTGGAATCCTAAAACTTGTATTTATGATCACTGTAGGGATGTAGGATTGAGGTAGGTAGAATGTTTTGGAAAGTGGTACTACTGTGTACTAACTTTGGTACAATTTGAATTGTAGGTCAACCGATAAAGTTGGAATCCTGAAACTTGGATTTAGGATGACTGTGGGGGTGTAAGAAGTTTTGGACATTGGTACAACTATGTACTAAATTTGGTACAATTTGAATTGTGGGTGAACCAATAGAGTTGGAATCCTGAAACTTGAATTTAGGATGACTGTGCGGGTGTAGGATTGAGGTATGTAGGAAGTTTTGGACATTGGTACAACTATGTACTAAATTTCCTACAATTTGAATTGTGGGTGAACCAATAGAGTTGGAATCCTGAAACTAGGAAGTTTTGGAAATTCGTACTACTGTGTACTAAATTTGATACTATTTGGATTATAATTAATTTTATCTAATTCATGATTTCAATTTGATTGCATGATGTAGGTAGTAATGGAAATTTTTACTTATGTATTCTAAGTGGTACTAAATGTGACACAAATTGGATTTAAGTGAACCGATAGAATCCTGAAATTTGGAATTAAGATTGTGGTATGTGGGAAGTGTTGGAAATTCGTACTTATGATTGCTAAAGTAGGTAGTTATGGAAATTTATATTAATGTGGACTAACTGATACTCAATTTGGATTTGGGTGATTTTTTTTTCAAAATAAGTATAACAAGAGTACAAATGGTAAAAAGTTACACCAAATTTAGTATAGAGGTAGATTTCTGTTGCGGTCGGAATGGGTGTGTAGGGTTGAGATACAGAGATATATTTGAGAACATACTATGGTACTAAATGGTTCTAAAATTTCAATAATGATCGATATAGGGTGGTTTTAAATACATCCCACATTCGCTAACGAAGTAGCGGGTATATGCTAGTAACTTATAATTCCTTAATTAAAGTGAATGATTAATTCACATTCGTAAAAATGAGATTCATATTTTTGTCTTGCTTCGTGACGTTATATGTTATACAATATTTGGTTAAATATTTCTTAATCGACAATATTTGTGTTTTATAAAGGATATAATGGAACAATCATGGGTCACTCCTGGTAGGACCTGCCCCATAAGGGTCAACATTTTTGAAAATGTGTATATATAATACGAAGCTTATTGACCCCAACTGTAAATGTCTACATTAGTTATTTATTACTTAGTTGTATGTTCTTATTAATCTACAAAAAACACACATTTTATTAATATAAAAATTATTTTTATTACAGACAATATGTTGGTTTGTTAAAAACACATTGCTCCAGTTGCACATTATAATAAGATCCGGAAGAGCAGTTATATTGGACGCCTTTGATTATACCGTTTTCTTTATAGCAATAAATATATCTGGAAGAGAACAAAAATAATATATATATATTGACTGACTGTATTTGTTGTTTACTAATATAAGACTGCAAATGACAATCTACAGATCAAATTAATCGATATATGGGTTACCATTTAAAGTATACAAATTATGAAATATTTAACTACACATCTAAATTTATAACACTTCAATTTTTAAAATGTTTGAAATTCAATCAGTTTTTTTTAAAGAATTTAAATTCTGTGAAATTGAAAATACAATAAATTTATATACCTTTTGCAGTATGGATCCATTGGTGATGTTGGATATAAACCAACTTGTCCCATTGCACTGCAAACTTGTTGTGGTGTTAAGCCTTCACTTGGATTTGGTGTGGTTGGAAAAACGCCCTCACCGCCATTACCACCATCTTCTGGTGTTGATGAACCAATTCCAGGTGTTGATGTATTCTCACTGCCATCATTGCCACCACCATCATCACCGCCCTCGTCCACCACATCACACGTGGCACTTTCAACCAATTCCTCCAAAACGCAAATTGCATCACTATTGGCATCGCAAACAAGTCCTTGCGGACAGTAGCCAATTTGTCCGATAGGCCGGATGGCGCCATAACACATTTGAAATGTGGTTCGACTCAGACAGGCAAACAAATGATTGCGATGGGCACTGCACATCCCACACAACGATGTGTCACCACAACTGGGCCGGCGCTGCGATGAGCTCTGGACGCAAATTGCATTCAAATCGGTGCAATCGAAACCCTCCTTGCAGTGATACAAAGTTTCCGTATTCGGCACATCATCTGAAAGTAGGACATAAAGTGGCAAATCAATGCAGCAGTCAGTGTTGGTGGCCAATAAGTCACTAATCAATGTTGAGTGTTCTATTTACCACCAAAGCACAAATAGAAGGATGTTGAATTGATACAGGCGGCTTGATTCGATTGGCACACATTGCATTCGCCGGCAGCATAATTGGAATGCAGCAGCAGTAACAGTAGAGTGGCCAGTATTAACTGATTTGTGAAACAGGGTGTTGGGCGCCAATTGAAGAGGCAAAAAATACAGACATGATTAGTACGAATATTTGGGAAATATAGTTTTGAAGTTCACTAGAACTTAATAATTAATAAAGCAATGATTTGTGACGTGTTAATGATGTAATACTTATGACAAATAATGATCATAGGAAAACATTTTATAGTAAAGAAATTGGCAATGAAACCCTGATTCAGGGCATGTGTACTAGAAACCAGCCTCATTCAGTCTCATCGAATTCTTATATATAAACATACCACCACATTTTTGATATTTTGAAGATTCTAGCAGAATTCTCAAAATGAAGTTACTGTTTTTTTTCACAAGGAAAACTACTTAAAAAATAAACATCCGATCTTCTTCAAGTACTCTACTGAAATCATTCCCGCCCCCATCAATTATATCCATATTTGCTAGTATATGCCTCTAGTCGTCCCCGAACCCACTTATATTAATCTAGTTCTCTTTTATGCAAAAGTGCATTCAGAAAGCCCGAGGTATAGACAATAGGGTTAGAAGTCGAGAAATGGCTCCACACAGCCGTCTTAAAAAACGTAAGGCACATACATACTTTAATACAAATAAGGAAATTGAATTTGAGAGCAATGTTGTGAGGGATGTGGGTATAAAATAACTATTTACTTGCGGTAAAATACAAATTCATCGGCTGAACACACACTATTGGCTGACGACTGTTGTTCTGAGGTAATTGTGAGAAAAAGAAATCGTCGTTGAAACTTCTTTTGGATGGGATGTTAAATCTATACTGTTATGACTATTTACAGAAATATTACTATTAGAGTCTGACTGGTAAAGCTGAGTTGCGGGTAATTCGTTTAACAAACTCATGAGGTTTTTTATTTCAAATCCTTCATTTTGGATAACAAATTCTTTAATTTATGGCAGTTTGTCTTGTTGCATATATGCAAGGCGGGTGGATAGAAAAAATGATGTGTAGTGTCATAAGCTCAAATTACCTTCCCATATTTTTCTTACATTTCTATTATGTTCACTTTAAATTTTGTTATATCTGCAACGTAATCAATGTTGTCAATTTAGCACTTTTTAAACTCATTTAGCACCGAAAAAAGTGATCTAGCACCTAACATCTTTCTTAGCACTTTTATTTTTTCAGGAATTTTTTTTTTTAAATGTTGGGTATTTTTGGTTTTATTCCAAAAAAATATTTGCCGTTTATCGATATCACAATGATGCATTGAAACTTACCTATATTTCATGCTATTAGTTTGATTTTCTTATGTTAAAAATAATATCCGAACATATATAAATAAGTAAAATTGCCTAAACAAAACAAAATAGCTTTATTCTTTTTGCTCTTAGAGTTTTACCATGGAATGCAGATTGGGCTTTCCCGCCTTATGAAAATAGATTGAAACTTATAGATCTCCCAACTCTTGAGAGAAGACATTTAATGCTCCGCGCAATTTTTATTACTAAACTTTTAAGAGGCAATATTGCTTCGAGTTTTTAGTTGGTGAAATAAAATTAAATGTGCCTACACGCAATACGCGTAACTAAATTCCACTTAAACTTACTTTAACAAAATCTAATTAAGAATTAAATGATCTCTTTCGTGCTATATGTGAGGTGTATAATAAGTTTTATAATTGTATACCATTTTACGACTCTGTAGATGCAATAAAAAAAGGCAATCCTTCATATATAGTTGTTTGTTGAATTGTCCTTGTTCGTAGTAAATACATGTATGACCGGCTGAAAATGTTTGTAGCCAGTAGTTTTCCTACCATCATATACCTCCAAAGTCCGGACTATGGGGTGTACGTGCTTCTCTCGTTATGAGGAGGTGGCCCCTTGGTCGTGGAAAAAAGAATTCAGGCGTCTCTTCAAATGAAATACCCAAGCAAATGCTGCTACAGTTAATTCTGTCATAATTTTTATATTACTATATTATATACATATTTATACCCTACACAACTATATTGTCAGGGTATTATAGCTTTGTGCAGCCCCAAAAGTCGCGAAAGCCGCGAAATATTGGTCCTAGACCCACCTTTAAGTATAGCAATCGTCATATCTCGACTAGCTGAGTCGATCTAGACATGTGTGTCCGTCCGTCTGTCCATTATAAATTGTAAACACAATACAGGCCACAGTTATGGACCTTCACGAAATTTTGCATGTATGATGGGTTCTGGCCAATGAAGACCCCTATTGTTTTTGGATAAAATCGGTTAATATTTAGGGGATGAAATGGACCAAAAACTTGATTTTTGTCGGTTTTTCTGGTCGTTCCAGAGGCCGCAATTATAGCCCAAACACCGCGAATTTTTGCATGGAGAAGGGGATCGGAAGAAAGAATAAGCATGTATGTTTCGATAAAGATAGGTCAATATTTACCGGGTCAAATGGACCCTATCTTTTGTGTGAAAAATGACAAAATTTGTATTCTATAGCGTATATATTTACCACAGAAGGACATAGACCAGAGAAGTTGATAGTATATCCAAGAGGAGTGGTTGATCTTTAAATTGATACCAATTATATTGTCGTAGGTACACGGATGCGGGAGTTACACTTAATTATTTACAGGTGCTTACGTATTCATATATTATTTAGTAACCTATTACCACACTGGAGGGCGGAAATATAGCTCTGATCGCTTTGAGATGTTCCATGAGGTTCCAGTGATAGTCAAGGACAACGCCTAAAATGTTAGGTGGTGATCAGATAATAATTTTTCGAATGAAGTGGACCGAAAACTTAATTATTTGTACTTTCCGAGTCGAAAGCCGAACATCACAACACAACCCACGGTGAAGGAAATCTGGACAATTTATTAGAGGGACTGTACCGATTATTAGTAACATTCGCTGACCTCTAGCCAGTCAAAAGTGTACAAATATCGCGAAATATTGCCCAATCTCAGAAGAAAGTACCACAGAAAGTTAGATTGTCATGGAAGTTGTGTAGGGTATCGTATGGTCGGCCCCGTCCGACTATACTGCTCCGCTCACTGGTTTTTGTTGTGGATCTTTCAAATTCTAAGGACTTTAAACCTAAAATGAAGTCTCGCAGTGCATTATTTTTATGGTAGTGCAAAGAATTCGTTTTATAAAATGGTCGGTCCACAAATCTGTCGTTGATGATGCACCATCATTCTCTACGGCAGATTTAATTTTTCCACATATCACTTTTTTTTTAATTTATGGCGACATAAGATTGATGTCAGCTTAATTGTGGATTTTAAAACTTTTTCGTATTTTCTGCAAAACACCCACCCTTCCACTATTTCATAATCTTCTTCCTGTATGTTCTTTACGGCTAGGAGTAATTTTATATTGTCCTTGGTTGATTTTTGCTTTCACATCCAAAGAATTTTCCATTTTTTGCATCTAATTTATATTACTGCTACTAAAATTCTTCTGATGATGCACAGTAAAATTGATTATCCAAAGAAAAACAAAGCTCAAATTAACGCGTAAATAGATTGTTCTCAAATCAAAACATTTTCGTGTGAAAATCAAAAACACACAAGCCACCTGTTAGTAAAAAAGTTGTTACTTCTTCGTTCTGATCGACTGACTTACGATAAGCTAAGTTGGCTGAGTAACAACACCTGATGTGCAGAAATCAAGAGAGTAAGATAAGAAATTTAACCAAGTGCACAAAACATCACGACAAAACATTCCCAGTGTCGATGAATCAGGTAATTCGTTGTTCAAATGGCTAAACAAATTATCTGGTATATAATACCCAGACCCGCCAGGATCACCTTTATAATTTAGAGAATAAAAGTGTGACATTGATTTTTGTCCTACATGTGTCGCAGGCGGGTCGGACTTTTCGTATCTCTCACCATTATGGACTCATAAATCTTCCAAAATTAAATGGACGCTCAATTAATATAGGAGGTTTCCAAAGCACTGCCGGGTATCAAAGGAAATTTATGGGTTCTCAGTTCAGGTCTAGATCACTATTTCAATAAAAAAATACATTCCTATGTTTAATAAGCATAGTCCAGGATTTATTGTTGTATTAAAACTCCTTTGTTGTAATTATTATTTTCGGGACTTAGTATGTTTTGCATTACTTTATTTTTTTGACTCACTAATATCCACAATTATTTTTATTAAACACTCACTTGCCACTTATCGGAAAAAGTTCTCTTGAACATTTCACTTTCTCTATTTATGATTTTAGGATTGTTCGGTAATTATCTACTAACGAGAAAAAAAACGGAAACACCAAACGTTCAGTGTTACCGTAACTCAACAACTGATCGATGTTAGAAATACTCAGATTGTGAAAAGTATTATTTGTGGATAATCATCGTACAGTGACAAGTTTTACAGCAAGTGAAATGACAAATGTTTACCATTCAACTTTGTTGGGTGTTAATTTTTGTTTATTTGCATTTCAATTCTTTTCTTTTCAGAAGAAAAACATCATTATGCATAGTGCTCAGAGTAAATAATTCCCAATTTCACAATTCTATTTGGGAGATGTCTAATTTTGTATACATTTGATGTTGTCATATAACGGCCATAAAGACTTAAAAGAAATGCTAATCTAATCGTCAACAAAAAATTATCTAAATTATAATTTGTCTTCACTGCTAATTATGATTTGAGAATTATCTGCAATAACAAATTTAATGAATGTTTCAACATATTTATATACATAAGTATGAAAAAAGAATATCTCTGGAACTTTTGAGAAAAACAATATCATGCCGATTGTAGAGTGTTTAGAGGTCAACGACACACAAACAATGTGTGTACATTTTTTCATTCCCACACATTTTAAAGAATGTAACGAATTTTAAATGTGTTAATTATTACTTGTCCCCAGTTAGGAGACTCGTGAATGAATGTTGTATTGTGAAAAAATAAAAACTGTGGTTGTTGCGATTAGACGTATTCTGTAAACCCTACGCAATGTGGAGAACTTGAAAATTTGTCAAATCGAGTGGTTACCATTCCATGAACTTCATGGAATCGACTTATGGTTGTTTTTTTTTATACCCTACAATTTGGATTGAGTACCGAAATA